CTGTTGGAAAAAAAAAAAAAAAAAACATCACAACACTTATCTATGAGAATGTGAACAGAGATAAGCACAACACTCACTCAACATTCATTACCTGAAAAGAGTCCAGAGTTGTCAATGGGTCCCGGGTACAGATTGTGCTCTCCAACATTGTACAAATCCCAGCTGTCAAAGCCCACATATTTCTTCCACTGTTTGAACCACCGGCTGTCAATCAAATACCTAAACAAGTGGAACAATAGGTGGAGATCAATGAAAAGTCAGTGGAAAAGGACAATTAATGCGTTTCTCTCCTAAAATATTAGAGCTAAACTGATGGCACAGCAAATATATTTTGTGTTATTACACATCTACAGCCAATAAGGACTTGTTCCACTACATAAGCTTGTTAACACTTGATTCCACTCTGCCAAGTGGCAGACATTATACTTTGATAAGAAAGAAAAGTCTGAATTAAAATGGGTCAGACAAAATTGAGAATTCTATTATTGAATTGAAAAGGAGAATTCTCTTTTTTGTGTGGAACACAAAAAGAGATGTTCACTTTAATTTTAGGGAAAAATGAATTGAAAGTGAAAGGTAACTTTCTGCCTAACATCTTTTAAATTCGACAAAAAGGCTGAGCATTAGAGAGAAGAAAAAATAAATAAAAATCTGTTTATTTCAAAATATTAAATTGTAATTAAAGTATGTAGCCAACATTAAACTCTTTAAAACCAGTGACCTTAATTACATAACACAAGATACCTGTTTGAGTAAATTAAATAATTGTAGTACAAGTCTACACAATGAAAGTACTTCTAATCCTACTGAAACCTAAAAACCTTCCTTTCAATTTAGTCACTAGTAACTTTATTACAACTCGTCAGTCTGCTTTCAAAATAAAAGTGGACTGGCTATCCAAACACTTACATGTACTAACGGGTTTAAAATCTGAATAATGTGTATATATTTTGGGGTTTTAATCTCCATTAACTTAAGATACATTTTTGTGTATTTACTATCTGTTCCATAAACAACTTCTATTGCCAAACAACATTGTGAGTGACTGGGTGTTATCCAGTAGCCATGACAAAGCACTGCCTCACTGTAATACTGATTTTAGGTAGCTTAGTCTTCGTCACAACTTCACAGGGAGGAGTTTGGCCGTTATTTTAGTCCAGTTTGACATTTCTAGTTTGACAGAAGGTCGTCGTCTAACAGAAATTAACACTTAACCCGTCAATGAAACCCAAACTAGCCTGGCTAACTAGCATCGGCTACATGCCTGACGCTAACGTTACTTTGCCATATAGCTTATCAGAGAACTGATAAGCGACAATGAGGTGGTTGAGTTTATTTACCAACCTTTTCGCTACTAACGTGTCTGAATACGTCTTATTTTTCCATTAATTAGACATTTAAGCTGAAGAACTGGGGACATATGCGAAGCTATGGCTGGTTAACCTGTGCTAAGTTAAATAGCTACAAGACAGCTTCCTCGTTTTCTAACTGATATAAATAGTGTTGAATCCGTATTACAGTAAATCGCACGCGTGCCCTGTACACCAACTCGATAATAATAGCAGCCTTCTAGTTTATGGGTGTTAGCGGAGCAGGTGGCTATCCACAGCCCGGCTAGTGAAGAGATTTCCGGCAGCCGGTGTCTCCGTCTGTAGGCCTGAGCCGATGCCGACAAGCTTGCTTTGACTTCGGCTTCACATAAAAACCTCTTACCATTCATCTCCCTTTCGAAGTGGCGTCTTCAGCAGTGTGCCGATGCTCTGCTTTTGACTTTCGGTGGATGGTACTGGTGTCTGTGCGATCACCAGCTTCTCGTCAGGGTCCGAAGCGTTACCCGACTTGGGTCCGCCTCCCTCCGCCATCGTGCAGCGAGTGAACCCTCAGCGACCGTGAGCGCGCTAAAGTATACAGGAGACGCGCAGCGCTAGAGGGAGCGCGCATACTTTTTTTTTTTATTGCTTAATGTACATTAGACAGGGAACAACCAACAATGCAAGACACTTCCATTGAGACAAACACAGAGTTTACATTAAAGAAGAAGAAAAAAATATATGGAGCAAGGATGAAAACAAAGATGTAGTCGATGTAGACATTATAAACACAAGGAGCAAGGATGAAAACAAAGATGTAGTCGATGTAGACATCATAAAGAAAAAAAATATACGAAAATAATAAATAATTTGACAAAGAGAAGCATAACTTTTCAGATTTTCTATTATGTTTTTTGAAGCATTTGAAGCTCTGAAACATTTGAGCAAACTCACATCAAAATATATTGAAGGAGAGTTTACATTTTTTCCGTTTACAAGTATGGATATGATATTTACCCATCAACAAAATAAAATTTACAACATCAGAGAAGGATGAATTTAAATCACACTTAAAAAAGAGGACATCTTGTTGGGTTATAGGAGGAATTGTCTCCATTTTTACTGACAACCAGCTATGTATATCGAACCAAAATTTAGAAGAAGTCTCGCAGTAAAATAAAAGGTGATCAAGTGTTTCAGGAAATGAAGAACAGAAACCACAAGGATCCACCTCGAGGGAGCGCGCATACTTAGCTGCCGAATTCAACTAGGAGCAGTGTTGGGGGTAACGCATTACAAGTAACGCGAGTTACGTAATCAGATTACTTTTTCAAGTAAAGTAACGCATTACTTTTTTAATTTACAAGAAAATATCTGTTACTTTTTCAAAAAAGTAACGCCAGTTACTTTGTTTTCCCATTTATTGACTGACAAGTCTCCTGTCCCCATATTGGGAGAAATCGGAAGTGCAGAGGAGTTGTGTGCGCTGTGTGAACATGATGTTACTGTAGTTCTAGACTAAATGTGAATGTGCATTAATTCATCCCACTCACAAAAAAAAAAGATTTAGTATTCATCAATATGAATTAAAACAGTGAAATGCAAACTCAGAATATGACGCAAACCTGCAATAATTAAATATGTTAAATAACACAAATGTATCTAATCCCATTTTATTAACTGATGTCTTTGCTGCTGACCTTTGATGATCCAGTTCAACCATACTAATAAGCAAAAATGACTTTAGATAAACTAACAATTGTGCGTCATTGTTTTTTTATTGCTGAAGAGTGTTTCTTCTCCTGCGTTCTGCTGTACAGACGTGAATTTACTTTTTCTTCAGCCTGAGTTTTATCCATTACACTTTTTGGTGTGAAAGGGCTTTTACATTTGCTATAGATAGAACTTCTTATATTAAAAACAATCAAGCCCTGCTCATATCTAAAAAGTAACTAGAAAGTAACGCAAAAGTAATGTAACGCATTACTTTCCATAAAAAGTAACGTATTTAGTTACTTTTTTAGGGAGTAACTCAATATTGTAATGCATTACTTTTAAAAGTAACTTTCCCCAACACTGACTAGGAGCTACATCCTTCATGAATAATTAGGGCTCTGGGAAGATAAGCATTTTGGTGTCCGCATCCCTGACAGCTTAAAGTATTGCTGTCAGCCGCTACAAAAAAATCTTTGACTGATAGGACCTCTTGCCATATTGTCCCCTGAAATTGCTTTTCTATTGCATTGCGCTTTGAATAGCGTATTTGGTTTGATTTAAACCCATACAAAACAGATGTCCGATCCATCATTCTGAGTCGAATTTCGACGAATCAGTTGAACTGGGTCACAAACTCGTATGAATAATTCATTTATGAATCGAATTGAGTTGGTTGAGTTTGAACCGACAACGGCCTCTTTAGGATATGTCAGATTTGTGAACCATGTAACTTACTATGGTTGGACTGCATAAAATGCTTAGACTAGTCTTAAAGTTTAGTCATCTAATTTTTTTTCCCTGTAAGTTTGGTCAACTTCTTGCGGTCACTTACATAAAAACATAGTGTAATTTGAATAATAAAAAAAACGGATTACTACTTGGTTAACTGCTAGTTACGAGGTTCATACAACCGGCCACCTGAAAAACGTTTGTGAGTCCTGAATTGGTTTTAATACATTTTATTAAAATTTCCTAATAAGAAAAATGTAAATAAATGCAAGTATTGTTTAATGTAAATGCTAATTATATTTAGGTCATTAATAACTGTAGAAAAAAGTGGTAGAAAAAGTTATTAAATAGTTGATAAAATAGATACAGAACAGAGAATAGTGCATCACTTTTATAGAAAATCAGGCTGTATTAAGAATGTACACATCCAATAAATGTAGTGAGAAACATTTATTTAAACCAAAAATTGCATTTAATAAAACTCAAATAAATATATTAAACATGCCAATAAATCTTAATATCTAATGAGGAAAATCTACCGAAATTCTGAATACTGACATTTGTTTCGCTACATACTCAGTGCATGGTGTACTGGCACCATAAGAAAGCCTCTAAAACAACAGTAAATTAAGGAACATACTATTTAGGTAACTGAACCTAAGTTATGGTCTGATCCACTTTTTAAAATGACATTATTTCTTAAAACTTCCTTTTTGCCTACGTGGTCCAAGAAATCATATGGTCCTAGTAAAATAAGAAAGCAGGGCTCTTAAAACAACAAAAATGAATAAAATTGTGTTAAAACAAAAATAAAGACGACATAGCAATAATCAAAGGGAATGTTTTCGAGAAAACCAGACCACATGCTACATTATAGGTGCACGGTTTCTGTTGCGTTGTATGAATGCAGTCTCAAGAGATAATCCATAAAGCTTAAAGCGCAAAGCTTTGTCACACAATGACACTTATGTCTGAGCAAAAATGAACAATGGAGGGAATGGTGCATGCATATTACACAAAATGTGATATGTCTGCAATGAGGTTTATGACACTTTCTAGAAAAAGAAAAAATCTGAATGGAAGCGATTTGCCACTTCCAAAATCAGTCTGACAATTCACTCTTCTATTTCGGTGAGGTCCTCCAAAACCTCTCAGTAGTGCACTTAGAAGATGCCTGTTGGCAACTCTTTGCTGAACATCCCCAAAAAATCCAAGTCCTTACTCATCAGATCCTCCTCGACATTTTCTAAGGCCCACTGATGATCCGTCAACTCCAGAGCCTCCCATTCCGCCTAAGAATAACATTCATATACATAAATCTTTAAAAAACTAAATGAAACACTTAGTCTGCAGCCTCAAAATAACATATAAAAAACAAAAACTTTTGTACATTTAATAAGATTAGGGTGCAACTCCTAATTTGCGATACCTTGAATGCTTTGTTTGTGTCAGCAGGCATTGCCATTGCAGCACCACTCATCTGTTCCTGCATGATGCGAGACTGATCTGCACCTGTTGCAAATGTAAGAAAATTAATTGCATTACAAATTAATTGCAATACAAATGTAACATGAAAAATATGCTTATAATTCTAAAATGATTCAAATAATTTTTAAGCTAAACATTTAAAGGCAACAGCTATTTCTACAATACAAATTTAGCCCTTGTGCTGTGCTGAAAATCTTTTACCTAATTTGGTGATCCCAATCTCAAAAATGACCAGAATGACCTGATCTTTTTGCCAACCAGTTTCTTTTTCCAATTAGCACAGGTTTTGTATTTCATTTTTGGAAGTGACTGGTTGTAGGCCTCACTGATCTGAGCTTATGCATCTCGGTTTTTGAGTGAAGAAAAGCATTATTTGTGGAGAATGTTGGCAATATTCACTGAAAAATTGTACAAAATTACCCCAGCACCCCAAAACTCATCCCAAAAAAGTACAATAATTCCCCCCTAAATAATTAGGAAGTTATTATACCCTCTGTGATCAAAGTCAGCATCAGCGCTGGAGTAGGTCAAAATTATGGTCTATTGAAATGGAACATCAGTAACGTTATTTACCATTGTCTTGTCCAAGAATCAGAGAATACATGCTCCTGAGACCAAAGACATTCAGGAAATACCAAGATGCTGAACTCACCCTGTGGATGTATACAGCACGAGACTGTTTAAAGACACAGCTTTGAATGAAATAAGAACAACACTCAAGGGTTTGAGAGCACTAACCAGGAGGCATCTAGAGAGAGCAACTCAATTCCCTGCTGCAGCATCGGCTTGAAGCGGAGTGTGAGGGGAAACGGTACCTTTGCTAGAGAGAGAACAGATTTATAAATGCGTTAAGACGAGCTCTGTGAGAATAGACTACAGGAAGCCATACTCTCATATTTGATTGTGAAAACTGTATCTCTTACTTGTGACAAACCCAGAGAAGGTCCAGTTGATCCAACCACCAATAAGGATCATAGGCAAGACGTTTGTCACATTGCCTTTCATCATGTCCGTCAACATGCTGGGATCTAATTGAGCAAATTATATCATGGCATTAACCTTTTCACTCAATCCTGATTGTCATTTTATGACATATGCATAAAAGTATTTCCACCAATACTCACCAGTCATTGGAGATGGTGGGACCACCTTTCTTTTGGTCTTCTTGAAAAAGCCATCTTCTTGATTATTAAAGTAGAATTTTCTCATCAAGAAAGACTTTTAGCAAGAGATAACATTTCAGTTTCAGTACTCCAGTAAAGTCTCAAGCAAAAGACACGAAAAAGATAAGAGGGGCTCACTTGTTTGGGGATGTATTTTCCATTTTCCCGTAAAACTCTGCTCCTGATAAGAACCTGGCTGTGTAGAGAACATGATCTTTAGTGTTTTGTAACATTTTGTGAGTTGCAAAACACATGTGGATGGATAATGAAACAGTCCAATGAAAGTTACCTGTCTGAAACTTGCTCTAACGTGAGCTTCTTGTCACTTTGTAACAGAATTGAAACATAATGGCGGATCACTCCAACCAGAAAAGTAATAAACACGATAGGCAGCACAACCCAAAGACGAATATTGGAGTCCAGGAGGAGCTCAGGCTCAGCCATGCTTTAGTGAAGGGATGTTGATGGGATATGCCAACCCTGAAACAGACA